ACAAAAAAAAAAAAAAAAAAAAAAAAAAAAACAGACTGGGAACCAAGTAGCGAGAAAATTCCAAGGAGAACAAACAGACACAAAATGGTCATAAGTCAACACAGTGGCAAAGAGGAGCGATGACATGGAGAACACCCCACTGTGGGCACCACATTCTGCTGCAACAAAGGACTTCCTGTCCCAGCTGCTGGGGAGGCTATCAGCACCTTCCCTGAGTGTCTTCCTACCTCAATTCCACGGACTGGACGTGGGAAGATTCTAGAAGGCTACTGGCTCACAATCCCCAGACTATATTATCTAGCCTCATTTGCAGCCCGGCTCTTCCTTTCCCCCCAGTATGCTTCCCTTCCTTTTACAGCTATTGATCCCAGGCAAATTTCCTTAATGAACATTCTTCTTGAGAGTCTTCTCAGAGTCTGAGCGTCTACTTCCCAGGAAACCAACCTGTGACCATTTTGCTTGTAATCTAAGACACTATACCGTGCAAAGATTCTATATGATTGGGTGTTTAGAACGGAAATGTGAATTCACAAAACACCTCAAGGAACGCTAACATGGGGTTCAGGAACCCTGGTACCCTAGAGAGACCCACAGCCCACCATACTGATACTGAGAATCATACCTTATTAGTGGTTCCCACACAGTAAATTATTCTTCTATTTCATTTTTTAAAAATATCTTTTAAAAAAAGACACTTTAGACATCCTGATGTTGAAAACGAACAAAAAAACTTTAGAAACACACACCATTAATTTTTGTCAGTCTCCACATTCTCTGTACTTCTGAATCAGAACTTTCCAAACTAAAGGTAAACGGTGGGCCATTTATGGGTTCATCAGGATCAACCGCAACAATCTCTGTGGAGAACATGGTAGGTTTACAGATGGTCACTACAGTCCTAGGTATGAATGGGCCATTATCATTCACATCTTCAATGACAATTCCCAGGGTCCCAGTACAGCTTCTTCCATCTAGAAAAATGGAAAGAAAAAAAAAAGTGTTTATGTTGCAAGTTTTTAACCAGGAAATTATATATTTGAAAGAATTTATTATTTAACAAAAACTGTAATGCATAAGTTATAGTGGTAATCATAGCCAAGTGCTATATCCTTATGGAAAGTTAAGAGAGAAATATTACTTTGAAATGAGCTGTACAAAAAAATAACCATTATATAGATGTATTCATCCATTCACTAAATCACTTCAGTAAACACAGAAGGTTTTTTATGTATTTATTTATTTTTGGAACTGGGGATCGAACCCGGGTCCTTGCACGTGTGAGGCAGGCAGTGACACCACAGAGCTAAATCCCCGGCCCAACACAGAAGTTTTCATAGAAGGGGTTGTAACTGATTTTTAAGAGAAGTAAATAAAAGAGCACCAAGAAGGGTACCTCGGGCATATTTAAAAACACAAAGAAATTTAGGGAGATGGACAGCGGGTTATATACACTCATGATCTGCAGTATATGAAGACGCTGGGCAGGACGGGGTTGAGAGTGGAAAAAAGAGCTGGAGCTCTTTGAAAGCCACAGTAGGGAGCTTAGAGTTTAATATACCTACGAAAGAGACTTGAGGTTGTGCAGCAGGGAAATCAAGTGGTAGAAGATACATATTTGGAAGATTAAAACGAGAATATATGGAAATGTTCTAAGGGAGGAGGATTCTAAATGTGTTTAGAAAATCACTTGCAGGTTGAAACAATTACTAAGGGGGTAGTATAAGCAATTAGCCTATCGTTTGTTCAGCAAAACCTTACTGGATAACTACTGTGTACAAGGCACTGCACCAGACCATCTGGGGCCGGACACAGGTGAAGCATAATGAGTCCAGCGCACAAACCAGTAATGCAGTTATAAAATGTGAAGCTGAACGTAAGTCCAGGACTCCTGTCTCCAAATCACGTTCTTCCTTCCTGTGATACAGGCCTTGGACGTGAGAGGTGGGCGTGAGTGAGACGAAACTCTGTGCTGCCCACTGCTGGGACTATCTGATAAGAAGCTGTACTCTCGGAAAGCTGGAGACCAGGCAGAACCCTGTGACTGTAACCTCAACAAACCTGGGTGCCTGGGGCACAACAGCTGGACCTTGATAGTTCAGTGTCATCGTGGGTCAGGAGCACCAGGCCACCAGGTTACGAACTAAGTCCAAATCACGGGCCACAGAGAAGGAGCACACAGAGCCAACTACAAAACTGCGATTTAAGATGGGAAAGTAGGAGAAGAAAACCCCCAAAGCAGTGAGCAAACCAAAGACTCCCCATTAAATAGAAGCCTGTCTATTGAAATTTCCAAATGATCAATGTGTAGGAAAACCAAGAGAATCACCAGTCAAAAGATTAATTTATTCTATGTAAGACATGCTTGAACAGGTATATTTTTAGGATCATCAAAGATTTAAAGAAGGGTAATTAATTAAATAAGAATGAAAGTATAGCTTGAATTCCAGCACAAATAAAGCAACAGTATCCTTCTCACAGGAATTGTAAAAGGGAATAGACAGGATGGCAGGGGAAGACTATTTCAGGCGATTAATTACAGAGAATACTCCAAAATTAATTAGAATAACTAAATCATATTCCAAAACCACTCCTCAATTCTAATTTTGCAAGCTACAGCGCCATCATTTATATTTACTATAGTTAGCATTTTTATTTTCAATTCTGCTTGGTAAAATTATGTAATATGGACTAATGGGCCTTATGTAAAATCGCCATATTCACATTCCCCTCAACTTTATAAGATACATAGAATATGATTTTACATTTTATTTGTGCACATAGGTTCACAGTGCTACTTCTCTAATTTAATAATATGCTAATAATTGTGACTGTGATTTTTTGTTGTCGTTGTTGTTCTGGGGATCAAACTTGGGCCCTCACACTTGCAAGGCAGGAAGCAGAACCACTGAGCCAAATCCCTGGCCCTGACTGAGATGTATTTTTAAATAATGTCCTAAATCAGAATTCTAATCCCACAGGTATTGTTAGTTTTCTGCAAAAATTGAAACTGTTTTCTGGAAGTGCACAATGTAAAAATAAGTACATAATGAACTTTCCCAACAAAATAAATTTTGTAAGGAAAACAAGTAGGTAAGTTGAAGTTACTTTTACTAGCATAATTTCTCCATTTTTAATGATTATTTACCATTAATATGTTCCATTTTCCAGTGTTTCAATGAATAACTTATTTTATAATTACATCTAACTCTGAGGATAGGCTTGAAAGCAGACACGAGGAAGTAAATGATAGCCAACCTCTCAATTGCTCTATATGTCATTCTGGGCAGAAACAAAAAGTATGAATGTATGAGCCCGTTTTTAAAATGTGTATTTTGAGGCTGAGGGTATAGCTTAGTGGTAGAGAACTTACCTAGCATGCACAAGGTCCGGGGTTTGAAAAAACACATTATTGATTTAAAAACTGAGGATGTGTCTCGCTGAAGAAACAAGTAGCTGACTTATTGACACATTTCTTACCTCTATCTGACGCAAGGACTGTAATATTATATACACCATTGCTGATGGATTCTGCCTCTCTGTCCAGATTTCGGAAAATTGTGATTGATCCTGAATCTTCCTCGAGGGTGATCCACCCTTTAGGATCACTTAATTTTCTGTACCTGTCAACAATGATGCATTAAAATAATAAATAATATTAGAAGTTAAATTATATTAATGATGACAAACAAATCCGTGAGTCTTTAAAACAATAAACCTGAAGTGAACAACAGTGGAATGACACACACCTTATGCCATTGTTGCTTCCTGTTTCTGGGTCATATGCTTTGTACCCATTGCTCCGGGTCCCCACTGGTGCATTTTCTTTAATCCGGACAGTTTGCGCTGGAGGTCGGCACTCAGGGCCCTCGTCCTGATTTTTGACAGTAACTGTGACAGTCGCTGTGCTAATGGATGATTTTGAAGCAGCCTCTCTTATATATGGAGCTTCATTAGTTACACTGATTTCCAGGGTCATCTGTTGTCTTTCCTCATAATCTAGTGGCTACGAAAGCAAATAGGTTGACAATCAGGTCAAATCACTTCGTAACAGGCAATGGTAACTAGGACAATTAACTCGTCAAATTTGAAAACATGCGAGTACAGTACCATGTTGAGAATAGTCATACGCCAAACACATGGTGGAAAGAGGGGGATCCTTCAATTGATTAAAAAACAAAAACCTCTTGCTCAACATCAAACTATTATATTCAACTATTACACAGCACAAGCAGTATACTAGGTACTGACAAAGATTCATGAAGAATTTAATGAATTTAATGAAGCTACAGTATTTGGATGACAAATGAGATCCTCCATTGAGAGTTCATGTCATAACCAATGATTAATCACTACATCATTAATTTTAGGACAGGCATCTTGAACTCTTCGGATAAAGAAATCATTTGTATCTGGTTTGGATAGACATTTTTTATAAAATGTTAAGAGAGCAAAGACAAGAAAATAAAAAATTTATGGACATTACCCTTTCCTTTTTAAAAATCTCTTCTCTCAGTTGCTTCCCTAAAACCTGAAAGTGCCAAGTTTTATTTTCTTTTTCCTGAATTTTTTGTGGTAATGAGAATAAAAGAAACAGATTTTTTTTTTAAGGTCTTATACTTCATGAAGATAATTTTCCTCTCAGGAAAAGGTGATAAGTGAAGAAAGAGGCAAGATTTAAAGGGCATTTCATTAGTGCTTTGAAATGAAGAAATTAACTCATAAACTGAGCTAATTTTCAGTTTTTGAAGAAAGGGAGTCATCCTTTTTGATCAGAGTTCCTTGAGAACAGGCACAAGTGAAAATTTCCAGACCCACAATACAACCATGTCCTAAAGATACAGCAGAAATAAACCTATGACTTTGTTCAAGGCCCTAGCAGCTCAGATTGCTGTATGTACCACTCTGACTCCTAAATGAGGAGCAAGTTCTCAGGTGTAAAATGGTACTAAAAGTCTTAGAAGTGTTTATGTCTTTGAATGGACTTCCACTCTGAACCTGGATTCTAAGGATGTGCTGTGTACTACAATACTAACAATAATCCTACAGACAGCCTCTGTAAGGGTCTGACGTGGGGTAACTCTTTTGGGAAATTAAGCAAATAAGGGAAAGACTCTTTGATTTAGATACAGAAAGAAGAATGTAAGAAAGTTTGGCAAGGTCCATTAACATCATAACCATGCTAGTTCGTGAACTGTTAAGGTATCAGTTACAAGGTGGATACGATATCATATTAATTGAGCACATACGAATGGTTAAAATCATGCCTTTTTAAAAGGTTACTAAAAAAAAATTCATTCCATTATATAAATGAAGAAAATAGCATTTATATATACCTGTTTATCCAATTTATCCTTACACTTACCAGAAATTCTTCCTTCCATTAAATCCTAGGATATTATCCTACAACATTATAATTCATGAATAACTAATTTACTAATTTGTCCTTACCTTGACTACAGACAGAATTCCTTCATTGGTTTTGGGGTCTGTTACAATTTTAAAATTTCCATTTTCGTTGCCCTTCAAAATGGTGTAATTAGCTCTCCAATTAGCAGTATTAGCTAAATCTTTATCCTCAACAGTAACACGTAAGATTTCTACCTCAGCTGTATTTTCTTCCACGGATGTCACATACTAAAATGATAAAAAGAAACAAAGAGTTAGTTAGCACTCATGAATCCAGGTCACTGTAAGAAATAAGTCCTGTTCTTCCAATATTCAAAATATTATGTTCACATGGTTTTAAACTTTAACACTAAACTACTATGATGTCACTTCATTTGAAATCCTGAGGCATGGATAGAGACGTGCATATTTAACAATTAACACTAGGTTCTACATTTTTTCTTTTATAACTGTCATACACTTACAGAAGTGTGGGTAAATGTCGGCAAGTTGTCATTAACATCCCCAATATTTATGACACAAGTTGCAGTTGTCTGCAAACCAAAATATTGACCATCCATGTCTTGTACTTTTATTTTCAACTGGTATTTATCCATTACCTAAAATCAAAGAAAGAATGTAATTATTGGGTGAAAGCAACACCAGATGAAATCTTAATTTACATTGTATAATTTTGCTTATACTCATAATTTATAAATTACTAAATTTCAGTGTGTTGACCGACTAGAAAAAGAATTTTCTCACACTAGTAACTTTCAATCAATTTATGAAAATAGCGTGGTTTTTCAAATTTAAAGTGCTACTAATTCATACAATGTGCAGTTAATTGGCTTTATTATTATCTAACAGAAAGAGCTGCAATCTTAATACCTTTAAAATTGCCAGATAATCAAAGTATTTATTTCTTTACCCAAAGTGAATTCTTATATTCAAAAGTTTATAGCAGTGACTTTTGTATTGGTCTTGTAATAAAATAATGAGGTGCAACATCCTCATGTGAAAATTGCTTTATGTTTATAAAAGACCATTAAGTTAATATGAAAATATAGGTTTAGGGCTATGTAATTATTTATTTATATGAAAAAATGGTTTGGGGGCTTCCTATCCATCTGATCTTGCAGAAGATTCATCATTACTTTAAAAAAATACTTCTCCTTGTAATGAGTCCATTTTTTATGTGACTGTGATGTGACAGGACAAAGACAAGACAATAATAATGTCTCTCAGATGGAGAATTTGGAGACTTGAATTCTATTCTCAACTCCAAAAATAGCAAAATGCAATCCTGGACAGCTGGAAATACTTCTTTGCCTAGTATGCTTTTTCTTTAAAATGGTTGTAATAATTGCCTTTCCCACCTAATTCCTCTCTTTTTCTAAGACAAAATAATATATAAAAATCTATTCTAACCTTCTATCTAAAACATTTACCTTTCTCTTAAAAAGCCACCCTTTTCCAGTGATTCTATCACCTTCTAGACTGTCTTGGGCTCACATGGTAAAGGTTACTATATTTATGCTTTTGCTTATGTGATTTTCCTTATTCACTCTTCCCTCATAATACATCACATGTGTAGTCTTGAAAAATAATGGCTTAAATAAAATTTTTAAAATTTTTAAAAGCTAGGCATGGTGGCTCACATCAGTAATTCTAGCATTTGGGAGGCTGAGTTGGGAGGATTGCCACAAGGTCAAGGCTAGTCTGGGCTACACGGTGTGTTCAAGTCCAAGGCCAGACTGTGAAGCAGGCTGTGGCACCACTGAGCTAAATGCCACAGCCTGCTTCACAGGTTCAAGGACCCAAGTTCAATTCTCAGAACAAATGAACAAACAAACAAAAAAATCACACATCAGCTATGATTAAAAAAAAATATACACCTAGACATATAATAGTCAAGATCCTGGAAACCCAACTGAAGAACAAAATGCTACAAGCAATTAGAGAAAAGAAACAAATTACATGCCAAGGAAAGTCCACCAGATTCACAACAGACTTTTCCACACAAACCCTCAAGTCAAGGAGAGCCTGGAGTGAGGTATTTCAAGCTTTAAAAGAAAATAACTTCCAACCTACACTGATGTATCCTGCAAAACTAACTTTCAACATCAATTGATAAATAAGATACTTTCATAAAAAAGAATACCTGAGAAATTTAATGAACACCAAACCAGCACTCCAAACACTTCTAAACAATATCCTAGAAAAAGACTATGAAGGTCACATCTCTGTGAGGTCTACCATAGCAAATCCAATAGGCAAAAATTTAAAGGGAGAGGGAGAAAAAAAAAGAACCAATAGGAAAATAACATGATAATGTTATAATGATGAGTCCATACATATCAATTATAACCATAAATGTCAGTGGCCTCAATTCATGAATCAAAAGAAATAGACTGGGAGAATGGATTAAGAAGCAAAATCCAACAATATGCTGTATATAAGAAACACACCTCTTGAAAAAGAAACTCATAGACTGAAAGTAAAAGGATTGAAGACAGTTCTGCATGCAACAGGAACCTGGAAAAAAGCATGGGTAACTATCTTATTTGCAGACAAAGTAAATTTCAAACCAAAACTAATTAAGGGAGACAAAGAAGATCACTACATCCTTGTAAAGGGACAATCCAACAGAAAGAGATGATGACAATCATAAATATATATGCACCAAACACTAATGCCCCCAACTTTATAAAGCAAATGTTAAGGGACATGAATCACCAAATAAGCACTAATACATTGTAGTGAGGAAATGCAATACCCCATTCTCACAGACAGATCATCTAAACTAAAAATCAACAACAAAATACTAGAACTGAACCAAGCTTTTAAACAAATGGACTTAAGAGATGTCTACAGAGTGTTCCACCCCACAAAATTAGAATATACATTCTTTTTGACTGCACACAGGTCATTCTCCAAAATAGACCACATGCTAGCTCACAGAATGTTTAAGTAAATGTAAAGGAACTGAAGTTATCCCATGTATATTATCAGACCATAGTGCAATTGAACTGGAGGCCAATAGCATAAGAAACCATAAGAACTTCACAAACACATGGAAATTGAATAGCACTCTCCTGAACAATCAATGGGTCACAGAGGAAATCGAAGAAAAAATTAGACAGTTTTTACGATTTAATGATAATGCCAGTACAACATACAGGAATCTATGGGATACAATGAAAGCAGTTTTATGTGGCAATTTCAGAGCAGTGAATGTCCACACTAGGAAAACAGAGTGAGCTCAAATAAACAATCTAATGGTGAATCTTAAGTACCTAGAAAAAGAGCAAGAAAAACCCAAAACTCATACAAGGGAGGAAATTATAAAGATCAGAGCAGAAATCAATGCAATGGAGACTAAGCAAATGATACAAAATATCAATAAATCAAAGAGTTGGTATTTCAAAAGAATAAATAAAATCAATAAACCCTTAGCCAACCTTATGAAAAAAGGAAAGAAAAGGCTCAAATTCATACAACTAGGAATGAAAAAAGTGAAATCACAACAGATCAAGCAGAAATCCAGATGATCATCAATATTTACTTTAAGAACCTGTACTCTAATAAGATGGAAAACACAGAAGATTTCTAGATACTTATCAATTACCAAAGTTGAATGAAGAAGATAAAAAATTCTAAACACCCCAATTACAATCTGTGAAATTGAAAAGGTAATTAAAAATCCACTAAAAAAGAAAAGCCCAGATCCTGATGGATTCACTGCTCAATTCTACAAGAATTCTGCCAGAATTCGGAACTACTGCCATCATTCTTTAAACTTTTCAACGAAATTGAAAGGGAAGCAATACTTCCAAATTCATTGCTGGAAGCAAGTATTACCTTGATTCTAAAACCAGGGTAAGACCCAACCAAAAAAAGAAAACTACAGGCCAATCTCCCTAATGAACATAGATGCAAAACTCCTCAATAAGATGCCATCAAACAGAATACAGAAGGCCATCATGAAGATCATATAACCTGACCAAATTGGATTTTTCCCAGGAATGCAAGGATGGTTCAACATATATAAAACAATAAATATAATACACTATATGCACAGAATCAAGGACAAAAAACATATAATCATTCCAATAGATGCAGAAAAAGCATTTGACAAAATTCACCAATCATTCATGGTAAAAACTGCAGAAAATTTAGATGATCTTTATCTCATCTTGATAAAGGCTATCTATGAAAAACCAACAGCCAATATCATACTAAATGGTCAAAAATTGAAAATCTTCACACTAAAATCAGGAACAAGACAAGGATGTCCACTGTCACCACTTCTGTTCAATATAGTTCTAGAAACATTAGCCACAGCAATTAGACAAGAGAAAGAAATAAAATCAATTAAAACAGGTAAGTAAGAATTTAAACTGTCATTATTTGCTGATGATATGATACTGTACGCAGAAGACCCAAAATACTTCACCAAAGGACTTATAGACTTCATTGACAGATTCAATAAAGTAGCTGGATACAAGGTAAACAATCAAAAATCAGTAGCCTTCCTGTACACAAATAACAGAATTAGAAAAACAATCCCTTTCCCAATAGCATACCCCCCATACTTAGTATGTCCTCAATGTGCATCCATTTAGCTATAAATATCTCAGCCATAAAGATTGAGAAACTAGAGATGTTTATAGCTAAATGGATGCACATTGAGGACGTACTCTTAAGTTAAATTAATAAGTCATACATGTGTAAATACCAAATAGTTTCTCTGGTATGCAAAACTAAAAGTGTAAATAAGGATCAAAATGTATAGTTGATATTGTATAATACAAAGAAAAGGTCTAAAGGAGTAGAAGTAGTGGGAGGGGGAGAGAAAAGGTAAAAGGGAAAAGAAAAAATTTGTGAAAAGGGAAAATATGGAAAGAATATCTTTGAAAACAGGGAAGGGTGGAGGAGGTTAAGGGAGGGCTGGGTAATGAGGAAAAATAAGAACCAAGGTAAGTCATGTAAAGGTACAGGATCCCATTGATGACTGTAACTGTATTGTATAACTAAAATATACCAAAAACTTAATAATGATAAAAAAGTCACATGTCAGTAAAACACTCACTTGCAGTTCAAAATAGATTAGTAGTTTTTGATGTAATGAATCATGAAAGTTCATTGATAAAGTTTCAAAGTCCACATTGCAAAAATCTTTAGGAGACTACACTTCTTGAGTTTTGATGCGCTGCTGCAGAATAGCCACAATATTAGAAATCACTATTAAAACACTCCTCGCTTGTTTAATTTCATATCATGTCAGATGTTCTATATGCATTTGATCAAAAACCATATATTATAACAGACAGAACACAGAAATGGACATGAAAATCTCTCTGTGTTATTGTAAGGCAGGAACGCTGTAATCTCAGCACATGGGAGGCTAAGGCGGGAGAATCATGACTTCAAAGCAAGGTCGGGCTACACAGAACAGCCTGAGAAGAATGGAAAGGGATCCTGAGGCAAAAAGATTTTGAAGACCACTGCGCTCCTCCACGAGGAATACGAAAAGGGAGTTGATACATTTACTGCTCATACGTGTAGCTTAAAGCCAATTCCACACAGTATTTTCAGCATGCCTGTGTTTTCATTCTGACTTACCCATGAGGTCAGGTATGGAATTTTTCACACCTGATGGCATGTTGGTGCTCCAAAAGTTTCAGATTTGGGAGCTTTTCAGATTTTAGATTTCCCAGCTAGAAGTAATTAACCTGCATCGAGTTTTATTTATTTATTAGTACTTATGTTACCTCTCTGTCAAGCTGAGACGATGTCGTGGTGATCACACCCGTGGCCGGATGCATAGTAAAGACAGTGGGTCGGGATGGCAGCTGCTCAAGGATTGAGTACCTCAGGCGCGTGTGCATGGTGTCAGGCTCATCCTTGTCTGTGGCACAAACCTGTCCCACCGTCGTGCCTAGGAAGGAAAAGAATTTTTTTTTCCCCAAAGTTTTTACATATTTAACTCTCCTTTTTTTCACTCCTCTCTGCTTACCTTAAAAAAAAAAAAAGTTCTGGACTGTTTTATTTCTAGTAGGATCATGGCTTGAGAAGTTTGCAGAACTCTACCTAAAACATTACTCCCTTCTAAATACCCCAGGGCTCTACCACGTTGGAATTTGGTGATCACATCTGCTTTTTCTGAATGTAATGTATGATTCGATGATGTTGATTCTCTCCCTCTGGGAACTTTGTAGTTCTAAACTAAAACATTCTAATTATCCTTCAGCCTGTTTCTATTCACAAGCCTGCACTTTTGACCATGTGAGTCAGTTTTCTCTGAAAACTATTGATTCAGCTGGGTATTCCTTGAGAAAGTCTCAAAACTCATGTTCTGATTTCCATTGCACCAGACCGAGGAAACATTTATATTATTCTCAGCGACCTTTGTAATAATCATGCTCAGAATATCATCATTCATTTATTTGATCATTACAAAATGTCAGTAGATATCTTTAAGTCTAAGTCCCTCATCTCTAAAAGACTTCTTTTTTGGAATATGTTCTTCTAGAAGTATTTATTTTATCTCACACAGAAGACAAAGCAAGATTCAGCAACTCCTATTTTTGAGGTACTGGGCTTGGTATTCCACGTGTATTATGCTTCCTTTAGTCTTCATAATAATCTAGCATTCCACAAACACATTTTAAAGATGAAGAAACTAAGGAAACCAAGGTCACACAGCTAGTAAAAGCAGAGTTAATCCCATCCAGTGTCCCTTGTTCCTCCCACCAAGTTTTACGCTCCTTTCTAGTGGCCACAATATGTGTTTAAACCTACTTGAGTTGATGTGTATTATTACAACAGATACTCACCGGCTCTGCCATTTTCAAGAACTGTAAAAATGTATGTTGTTTCAGTAAAAATTGGGTAGTTATCATTTTCATCCTCTATTTTGATTACTAGTTGCAATGGAGATTCTGGTGTGTACCCATCTGAAGTTGTTGCAAAGGCAACCAGCTGCGAAAAGAAAAAATAATCCTTTAAAAGAAAATATAATTCATAATTCAAGTGAAGGAAATCAGACACCTATGCTTAGATATCGCATGGCTTCTCTTATATGAGAAACTCAAAATATAAATAAATTAAAGAGTAAAATAAAAGATAGTAAGAAACACGGAGATAGATCATCTTCCAATGGGAAGGGAAACCAGGAAACGGAGGGACAAAAGAGGGAGAGGAGTGGGAGGGGACATTAAAAGAATTAAAATGTGTGATGTGAACCAACTCCCTAGGACGAATGCAATCATTATTTACTGTACATACGTGCTGATAAAAATTAAGAAAAACACCTCAGACTTGCTTTGGCTTTAGTTTAGAGATTGGTCAGCACACAGTGCAACTGTCACATAACTAATGCCAAAAGAAGTAGTCAATTTCATGGTATAGTTTAGCGCTTCATATTTAAATTTATCTAAGACAATAACAGACAGTAATCTTAATGTCCTCACCACTGCTATATCTTTCTAAATGTAATTTTTATTACTAATCTTCTAAAAATATTTGGAGATGTTCTATTTTGTTTGAAAGCTTCAGACGCATGGTTTTAAATACAACTTTCAGGATATTTCTTCACTTAGATTCCTTAGGATTACAAATCCTCCAGACTCACTTAACTGGGATATTTTCTTAGTTTCTACTAATTAATATTTTAGGCATAGCAATAGTTATTGATGAGTTCCTAAGAATTCCTTGATTTAAAAAGCAGGAGATAGGACAAAAAAATAACTGTAAATTTTGTATAAATATGTTATTTCTTTTGATTTTATAATATAAAATTCAATTTTATCTTGTGAAAGCAGAACATTGTAGGAACTTGGCAACAGTCATTTTCTTTTTTGGGTACCAGGGATTGAACTCAAGACCTTGTGCTAGCAAGGCAGGCACCAGAACCACTGAGCTAAATCCCCGGCCATTGTAGATACTTGGAAACTCATGTAGCAATCCTAACCCTAAATACTTAAGTCATAGCTTGAATATCATTTTGGATAATTTGATCTCCTGATGACTTATTACTTCATCCAAAATAGATCTGAAACAATTAAAATTGAATTACACATGATGATCAGGTCCTCTTGGGGCACCAAACCAGCATGTGGTCAGGCTCTTACACATGAACTGACACGCCACCGTGGGAGCTAGCTGGGTGATGAAGACTAGATAAGCTTCATCACACAACTTAGCTTGTCCACACACCTTACCTGGTCTCTGTAAGTTAACATTCACTCAATGCAAAGATACTGAGCCTTGTTTACCTCCTATAATATCTCCATACCATCAACAGGCTCCCTTACCTCTTTCCCACCAGCTAACTAAATGCTCTTCAAAATGGCACTCATTGATTCTTTTGCACAAGACCAAAAGCAAAGAGTAAAATGCTAATATAAGGAACAATCCAGTAGAAACATATTATTTACTTTGTGACAATTCTTTTGTTTTCAGCTCAGTGCTGTGCTGTCAGATCTAGCCAGAGCATCAGTGACAACTCAGAAAATAAAAAAAAGATAAATGAACTAAGAACGAGGCAGAAAATGTCCACGCTTAATAACAACCAACACAACACACAAACTTTAGACTTTACCTGAAAAGACTGATACTGCTCACGATCCACTGGGCCTCTACAATACAGGTTCCCAGTATCTCTTTCCACATAAAATAAATTTTGAGGTTCTTGGTCCACTCCGGGTCCACTGATGGAATAGTATATAGTGTAGTTTTGGGCTGTGTCAGACTGGATCTAAAGAGTAGATATTACGAACATGAGACAGATTTATTTCATCAGAACTTTCAGTTGTATATTTACGCAATCACATCTTCATTTGTCTTCCAAAAAATTGTCTTCTTTGACTTATTACTATGTATAAATAAAAAACAGCAATAAATTAAGTAACAAAATAATGCAGCTGCATTTGTTTTCCAGAACAGCTAAGAAATTGTTTAAAAGCTAAATAGCTATTTGAAATGGGCTTGTGAAACTTTTTGTTATATTAGAAAACAAAAATATTCTGGGCATGAAAAAATTATTGCCATTTTTAAATACTGCTTTTATTACACATGACAAAATATTTAAGAAACTAGATTCAAATAGTACTATCTCTCAGGCTAAAATTTAGAAAACAATTCCCCTAAGAAATTTTTATTATTCATCAGCTTTCTCCCTATGATCTAAGTTTTTAAAAATTTACATATATATGTTCCTATATATGTGAATCAAAATGGAGAGGGTGACATTTTGTTCCTTGATTCAACTAGCAAATTTCTTCTGAGCCTTTTCCATCCTTTCAGTAAGATCTTGACTATCATTATGTCAGGATGGCTAACACAATTATTTCTTAACAATTCTTTCATAACTTTAATATGCTCATCTCTGACCTGCATTAAGTGTGTCGGTTAGGTATAAAAAAGGGTTCTTTGTCCCCATTTCAAGAACTGAGGGGAAAACACTGACTGGGAGAGTGGCCAGGTAGTGGAAGAAGGCAAAAAGATTCATGAGGGTTTCCATGAAAGTCAAAAAAATGGAGAGGAAATGGGGATCCGGTATGATTTAAGAAATGGACTTGGGAATCAGCAATAGGCAAGCATGTCTTTATCCTTCATGTCATTTGTAATTTCATCCCTTATCATAAAAGATATTTTTGGATTTTTGAGACTATGCCTAGACTCTGTGACACCCTACTGATTAAAAAAAAAATCACTAAAGAAATGGGTGTTTGGGAATACTACATGGATTTTACACTTTTGTAGATGGGCTTCGAATGACTAAAGCTACAAAAAAGTATATAAAGGTATAAAGAAATACACTTATAACAATATATTGAAAAATCTGATAGACATATCCCCATTCACTTATATTTTTACATACTATTTTTTTCAATATTAGGGATTCAATCCAGGAAGTGCAGAGCTACATCCACAACCTTTTTATATATGTATTTTTTTTTTCATGTGGATATAGGGTCTCACTAAATTGCCCAGACTGTTCTTGAATTTGGTAATCCTCCTGCCCCAGAGTCCCAAGTAGCTGGGATTACAGGTGTGAGGCACTGAGCTTACATACTGTGTGTGTGTGTGTGTGTGCGTGTGTGCGCTTTACTGATTATTGAACCCAGGACCTCAAATATACTAGGCAAGCCCTCTGCTGCTGAGCAACACACTCCTCACCCTTTCAGAATTATTCTTTAGTAACTGTGCATTGGTGTCAATTTTTTTCAAAGATAGAAAAGGAAAACCTCTACAGCAGAAGGGAAACAAATTGTACCTGTTGAAGGAACAGTGGGAATGGACCCAAAGAATTTTCTAGCATTGAACAAGGAATAGGAGCCCATCTCCTCTTGGCACGTCTCAGAAGTTTTTCTGTAGAATGCTTTTCCTCTTTTACCTTAATTTAGAAGACAGAGAAAACAAAATAAACAAGTAAAGCTTATGACCATTTTCAAATGTTAGAACTTCAATACATATTTCTCCAGAATTAGCTGAAGAGGTATAAGCCCCTAGTAGTACTTGAAAAACAAAACTCAACGCTGCAAAAAGATAATGAAGAACTAGCAGCCTTAACTGTTATTACAACAATCCTCTTAAAGAAAATAACTTGATGGAAACATAAAAGAAAGAGAGATGGGACTGGAAGGCTAGAAACAAAACTGAAAAGATTATTGTCGCCACATTGCCATGCAAAAATATGGGAGGAGCAATACGCAAAGAAAATAAATGTGTGCCCTTCCACATGTAGCAGAATCAGCTCCAACTCACCAACATTTAAGCAGAGCCACGGGGCCAACAGAGAGATCTGTGTTAGAATGAGGAGAGAAATACTCTTAAACTGCTGCAGCAAAGAAGGAAGTCACGTCCATCTTGGCTATCACACTGTAGTAGGCATCCTTATTATAAGATAATCATCTACTGTCTACGACTACAAGTTATGCTGAGATGGATGAGAAAAAATGTTTTTATTTATCTATGGATAGGCCTTCAAAGTTGGATTTTTGGAAATACACTCTATAGAAAAAGACCAATAAATGTTTCTTTGTGTCTAATCTCAAATTCTCAGCCTATAGTTTAATCCCAATTTATCCTTTTATATCTCAGATGAAAAGCAATGGCAGCCTGAAATAATCTGTGTTACCCAACCCTCTCCCATTTAAATACTAGTAAACTGCTATACGGTTTCCATTTTCCTTCAAACAAAATTCTTCCAAATCCTTCCTGATTCCACATTTTCCCTGGCAATAAATCTAAATAAAAGACACCATTGTACTCCATTTATGTAGTCCTTATACCTTTGTTTGAGCCTCTAAAAAGACAGAAATTGTCTTCTCTTCTTGGCTTTCTGTGTTGAAAAGTAATATGATAAACTCTCTTTTCTCAGAGGTCAAAAGAACAGCATTCGTTGTATAGACTGATCCATCTTCTAAAATTTGGAAATCAGGGTCACTTGAATGAATTAGATTTGCAGATTTAAAGCACTCCTCCAGGTTAACTGTAGAAAATATACACAACGTTATTTGTAAAATGAAACATAGCAATATGTAGATTTAACACTAATATATGCATGTGGGGAACCAAACACTCAAATTCCGCAAGTTACTTATAAATTTATCACTTTTAAAAAGACATCTGAAACGATGAGGTTAAGGTATGCTTAAGTACACATATCACTTTTAATGCTTATAAAGTCATCTTTTAATATCCTTTTAAAGAAAATGCTTATTCTGAAATAAAATCACATGAACTACAATGTCTAAATATTTAAGCCAATATCAACCACAGCTTTTCTTTCTCAACTAAAATTAGCTATAGAGCAACACATTAAAAAAAAAAACTTGGGTGAAGGGAGGGCAGAGGTAAGGGGAAAAAAATGAGAATCAAGACTTGCCATGTAAAGGTACATGATCCCAACAATGAATGTAACTGTACTGTATCCCTAAATGTACCAATAAACTCAATAAAAAAAAAAAAAAAAAAAAAAAACTTGAAGTTAAAAACAGAATCTGGCTGAGTAAAATTGATAGTTATTAAATTAAAATATTACTGAACCAACTGGATCTGTGAAATATTCATAATCTGTGTCCTTGCTGGTTTGATCTTTCCTTATGCAACTGAGTTATGTAAAAAATTATTTGACAAAAATGACAGTATGTGAAAGTGAACTGCAATAAATCCATAATGCCCTTGGATTCAAGAAATGGCATTTCTCACTTTCTTAGAGGCAAGCATATGCTGTAACCTTCAATTAATGTAAATACACAGAATTATTTTATTTCTCATACTAGATCATTTACTCACTCCTTATAATCATATTTTTCAATAAAGAACAATATGCTTTCATTAAAATGACCCTACATATATTACAAGTGACAATGTACCATACTAGGTTTAACTGCCCCAAAACAGTGATCCTAAAAATTACACTGACTCTTAATGGATTATACCAAATTCGTATTGCTTATGGACCTTAGCAGTTCCTTACCTCTACCAATGAATTTCTCAGGGTCCAGTTTGGAAGGAACATACAGTATCACTGGCTTGCAGGCATCACAGGCAAATGTTAAGATCTAAGATAAGCACGTTGGTAACTATAAATTTATATAATTTTAAATACATTTATATAATTAGCAACCTAAACTAAAAACATACTCTGGAGTAAGAAATTTAGAAAAAAAAACATATTAAAGCAACACTAAAACAATACATTAAGACTGACAGCTCCTTCCTCCCCAAGCATATAAACTCAGGACTATGTGCCCTCTTAAGTCTGTAAGAATAATTTAGCAATAATTTCACTTGTGGATATAGCAAAGTCCAGCACCCACCTGAGGGGAAGAGAGAAAGAGAGAGAGGGAGCTGAAAAGTTGGAGAAGATAGCATGTGTATGTAGATAGAAAAAAGGAATGAAAATAGTTTTTATGAGCCTGCAAATTTCAATTTTTTTCAAACTAGTGCTTAGCGATGGTTTATTAAATCAGTAATCTTCCCTCCCAAAATCCCTACATGCCTTTAAAGAGCAGCACTAGCTCATCACTGTGCAGTGATCAAAAGAGGACACCTGTGCTCCACGCACAACAAACAGATGCAGGACTGTGGTGTGCAGTCTTACCTGGAGGAATCTTCTCGTAAATGGGAATCAAGGTCATTTCAGAAAACAGCTTACTTAAATTCTCTAAATGGTTTGTGGTGAACTAATTTCAATACAAAATATACTGGAACGTGCTGAAATTTAATTCTATTCTCTGAAACTCTGTAATGGGTGCTTCTGAAAGATTTACATTTCTTTCTCTACAGTTTTGCAAAGGTCTTGGCCAAAAGCAAGATGGCTGAATAGGATTTACACTGTCATTTATAATTTCCATAAACATAAACTAAACCCATCTAAATTTAGATGAAATTTTATTTCATACATGTCAGTAAACCTGTAATTAAATTGTATATGAATGATTGGGTAAGGCAGAAATCACATGTCATTTGGAAATTAAGCACAAATACAATGAAGAGATTGTACTTGAACTGAAAATTAAAAGACAAGACTTTACACTGGCTGAATAGAGAGAGAGAGAGAGAGAGAGAGAGAGAGAGAGAGACAGACAGACAGACAGACAGAGAGACAGAGAGAATAGTAATAGAATCAAGGATTCCCAGGATCCCGGCTCAAAGTGACTGACAGAACATATTCACTTATAATCCTGGCATGGTGGCACATGCCTGTAATTACTGCACTCTGGGAAGCTGAGGCAGGAGGATCACAAATTCAAGTTCAGCTTGGACATTTTAATAACTTAGCAAGATCTTGTCTCAAAAGTATAAATAAATCAATAGATAGATAGATAGATAGATAGATAGATAGATAGATAGATAGATACATAGATAGATAGATGGGAAGGTTGTAGATGTAGCTCAGTGGAAAGACCCTGGAATCAATCTCTAGTATTGAAATAAAACAAGCAAAATAAAACAAATAATATGTCCACTTTTTATTCAACCACTATTTTTCAGTTGCTTGGGAGGGTGCTAGGTGAATCAGAGGCCAATAATGTGAACAAAGCTAAGTCCTTCAAATAGTGAAAGGCAAAAAAAAAATAAATACACAATTGTACCAGTGTCACACAATGCTGAGGAAAAGAGATAAAATCTACAAGAAAAGTAAAGCAAGGGAAAAGGGTGATGAAAGGAAAACCAGAAGTCTAAATGAAGCGAGGAAACAAACCAGTTCCCTAACTGGGGAAGTCTCCCAAAAACCAAAACAAAGGACCCACAGGGGGAACCTGTGTTTGTTATAGAAACAATAAAGGGCCACAGTAGCTGAGCACAGGACACAAAACTAAAGATCAGTGAAGGGCAGCTCATGCATGGTCTGAAAGTCTATGGCTGGAAACAGATTTTGTTCTGGGTGCAGAGAAGCAGTAGCTCTCAGACCCTGCAGAGTAGTAAAATCTGGAATTTACTGACCAACAGCATACAGAGGAGTAGGAGTGGATGCCAGGAGACCAAAGGCCACAGCAGGAATCCAAGAGAGGGATGGTAGCGAACTGGGCTAAGGTGGTAATGGTGGAGAAGGAGCAATGATGACTGGATTAAGAATTGGGGGTTGAGGGTAACAGGATCCTGGTCGCAAGAACAGTCATGCGCTCAACAAATATTCAATGAACCTCTACTCTGTACTACACACAGAGTAGTACACAGGTCTGCATAAAATAGTCCATCCAAGGGTAAGACATCTACAGTATCAATAACACAGGAAAAAAGAATGTCAGGGAAGGTCTATGCTGTGAGGAACAGGGCTCACGGCCTTGTGTCGGAGACAGGTGAGTCTCCTGAAGCATAGCGATAAATTAGCCACCATTAGAGGAGACAGAGCTTACATTCCATGCATAGGAACCACATCTGTGAAGGCCCAGAGGAGACATGAAAAGAAACCCAGAATGGCTGTCATGTATACTACAGAGGGAAGGAGTTTAAAATAGACTCTGAGAAATGGGTATGGAGAAGTTTCTTAATGGCATTCACAAAAAAGTATGGCTCTTTTTTTCCCCAAAGATAATAAAAAACAAAGATTTGTTTCAAGCAAGTAAATTACATAAACAGCTTCATGTTTGAACATGATGTCTGAGCAATGCAGAGAATGGATCAGAGGGAAACACTTTTCATTTCCAATGGAGGAAAAACCCCATGCCAAACTCACTGCAATTGAGGGATAATACAGAGCTAATAAAAATAGCAAGGGTTTGTTTGGTAGGCAAAAAACTGAAGATTAAACTGGAACACAGAGCAGTATGAAGAAGCCAGAATCAACTTTTGACTTGCAAAGGTCCGACTCTGATTTCTTGGAGAGAGGATGAAATGAAAGTACATGGCCCACCTACAATCAAAGAGAACACACTGTCCAGATTAATCAGGGTCCCAAGTGCTAAGGCTGAGCCTGAGGTCAGCTGATTTTCATGGATCTGTGAGCCATATCCCATCTCTTGCCTGGTCTAGAAACCTCGAGGCATGAATTGGGCCCAGTATGTGATCACCACCACACACGCTGAAAGGCACTTGGTTGGATTCAACAACCATTTTTTTAAAAGGCTCAAAAAATGGAAATTGATGACTATGTCTACTATCTGATTTTTATATATTATAATCACTACACCAACGCTAGAAGCAACCCCACTACACTTAGAAACAAGGTAAGCTTTCCAGGTTCACCATAAAGAACTTTACATTACATTGAGAGCATAGTAAGCAAGAACATATGAGTTTATTTTTTTTAAAAGAACACTATTTGCATTTGCTATACCTTTACCTGGAAAATTCAAGAAAATCAACCAATGAATAACTGTAGTATGATAATTAAGGGGGAAATAGCTATTAAAATATAGACATTGTTTAGTAGTCTTCAGACCCATAAATGAAACTAGTTAGATAAAATAAATCATTTTCAAAGCAATGAAATGTTACCATGCTGAAGAGTAAATTTAAGAACAAACATGCAAAGCCAATTTGAAGAAAACCTTAAAACATTTCTGCAGGACACAAAAGGAGACTTGCACAAAAAGAAAGACATATCATTATCTTGGTTTGAAAAATGTCAACAATGTACATATATCAATCCTCACTGAGTTATATTATAAATTTTATGATCCTAATAAAATTCTTAACAGAATATTTCCTGGAACTAACCAGCCAATTCAAAGGATCATAGGAACAGTTAAAATTAGACAGAAATATTATGAAGAAGAACAATCAAAAGATGTTAGCCCTAGCAGATGTTAAAAGATCCTATAAAGTATTAATAAAATATTAGTAAGCAAATAGAAATTATACGCATGAATTTGAAAGGAAAAAATATGCAACTTCCCCATATACATTTGATCTGACTGTATACTGCCCATAAAAGACTTGTTATACCTTTCCAAAATTTCCATTAATTTCTGTTTATACATATTTTTGCCTATATATGTGTTGTCAAACTTTTGGGCATTTGTCAAGTTTTCTTTTGCTATTTTTAGTTTGTTTGTTTTTATGATACTGATGATTGAACCAGGGTCTTCACACTGGAGCTACATCCTCAGTCATTTTCTGTATCTTTATTTTGAGACAGGCTCTTACTAAATTGCTAAATTTTCCACAATCTGGGCTGGAACTTGCAATCCTCTTGTCTCCCCCTCAAGTTCCTGGGATTAAGCCTGGCTTTCAATATACTTTTAATTCACTTTTTCTTATGATAAGAGAGGCTAAAATAGTTTCGTATTTTAAGGATCATTTTATTACTTTATTAGAATTTTTCATGTTTTTTTTCTGTTGAACTTTTAAAATTAGTCTGCAAGAACTATTTATATAGGGTTTGCAATTTTTTTTTCCTGTTTACCAGTTGCTTTTCAATACTGCTTATAGTGTTGTTTGGCTTGGTCTTTTGACATACGAAGTGTGTGTATTTATTTTTATATAACTGATTTTTCTGAATTTTAATATTTTAACTTTTGAAATCCAAAATGGTATTGTATTTTATACTTAAATACTTCATTTATTCTGAATTTCTGTGGTGTTATGTCAAAAGTATGAGTTCAATTTGATTTTTTGGCAGATTTCTGCCTAGCTTAGGCAGTCTCAAGAGTCATTCTTAATCAAGTCTTACCCTAAAAATTTCTTATCCTCAATGATCTAACACGCCATTGTAAAATAACTCTGTCTAGTCTTATACAACCTTTGTGGGGGGAAGAGAGCTATCTACTAAAATCACACAGTCATTTGCACCTTGGTTTGTCATTGCCATTTCTGGTACGCAATTGATATGAAATGATATATGACCAAGTTGTGATATTATCTGTGATAGCAAAAAGTTGTGATAGATACAAGTAAGCACAGCCATGAGATATCTCTGAATGTAAGTCTATTGAGATTTACTGAGGGACCAGGGGAGGGAAGGAAAAACAAGCAGCTTCTAGGCTTCTACCCAAGGAGCAAAGCATATGTGCACACCATAAAATGAAATACACGGTGCTAAAAGAAAAAAATGACATTGTTAGGGAAGATAACCAATTCTGCGCCATACATAGTAGGTGGAGATATAAAGTCT